GTTTCGAAATCACACATCTAATGGTGCTACTAATGAATCCAATAGATTATCTTTTTCTCTCGATTGTTAATTTTTTGGGGAATTTTTGAATTTCCGATTGTACTACGATCTGTTTCGTTTCGCGGGATTGCAAACAAATTGAATCATTTTCTGGGTTTGAACGAGTCCTGCTTCTGAGAAATTGATTGAATTCTGATTTAATTCGATGAAAATCCCCAGAGATGGAAGAACGTAATCGTCTTGATTTGGTAATTTACAGGACTGCAAGTGGAACGTTTCACGACGGAGATTTTCTTCTAAACCAGAAAGGGTTAAGGTTGATGCCTGATGAGAAGCAATCAAGGGTAAATTTCACTGACCTAAACCCCAAATCAGACTAAATTGTTCTAAAGAAGAAGTAATTAAGGCAGTTTTTTGTGTGTGTGTGTTTTGTCTTCCATTAATAGCCATCTGATAGTAAGGAGCTTGATTTCGAAATTACTGCTGAAGACTTAGAGACAGTGAAAGTCATCGGAAAAGGTAGCGGTGGAGTTGTACAATTAGTTCGACATAAATGGGTTGGCAAATTATTTGCTATGAAGGTACACTTTTTGATCCTCAATTCAAAGAAAAAAGTACTTGTTTTCTTTTCATTAACCAGTCTCTTACTTGAATCTTCAAGAGTTTGAGAAAGTTGGAATTTCATAACATAGGAAAGTTTTGCTCTTTTCATTATATGCAACTGGTTAGTTTAGACTATGAGTCACATGGAATTGATTTGGGGTTTGAGTTTGTTTATATTATGAGCCGCAGGTCATACAGATGAATATACAAGAAGAAATCCGCAAGCAAATTGTTCAGGAGCTCAAAATAAACCAAGCATCATCACAGTGTCCACATGTAGTAGTCTGCTACCACTCTTTCTATCACAATGGAGCCTTTTCCCTTGTGCTTGAATACATGGACCGTGGATCTCTTGCGGATGTGATAAGACAAGTGAAGACTATTCTTGAACCTTATCTTGCTGTTGTCTGTAAGCAGGTACATTGAACTTCCTCTATACTCAAACCAAACGATTCAAATTATTCCTAGTGATGCTTTCCTCATTCTCATGAGTTTATTGATCTTTAGTTATTTCCTCTTGTAAACAGGTTTTGCAGGGACTTGTGTACCTGCACAACGAAAGACATGTCATACACAGAGACATTAAACCGTCCAACCTTCTTGTAAACCATAAAGGAGAAGTGAAAATCTCAGATTTTGGTGTCAGTGCAAGTCTTGCTAGCTCCATGGGACAGAGGGACACATTTGTTGGAACCTACAACTATATGTCGGTACGAAAATCATTTCAAAATCACTACACTAGAAACAATTCTTACACAAAATCCCTGATGATCCTGGTATATGAAAACATACATAACCATGTCTTGTTTTTCTTCTTCACTTCACACAGCCTGAGAGGATCAGTGGAAGCACATATGACTACAGCAGCGATATTTGGAGTTTAGGCATGTCAGTGTTAGAATGTGCAATAGGGAGATTCCCTTACTTAGAATCTGAAGATCAACAAAACCCGCCTAGCTTTTATGAACTCTTGGCAGCAATCGTTGAGAATCCACCCCCAACTGCTCCTTCCGATCAATTCTCACCTGAATTCTGCTCTTTTGTATCATCCTGGTAAACTCATTACTTGCATCTTCATAATTTTTTTGCATTGAAACACACAAAGAATGACATGATTCTTCGTTACTTTAATAACAGCATACAAAAGGATCCACCAGCAAGATCATCATCTCTGGACCTCTTGGTAAGTAATTCTTAGTTTCTTACTCACCACTTTCTCTCTCTCTCTCTTGCTAACATCCTTTCGGATCTTTGATGAAACATTTGACTTTTTGTTCATGTTATCAGAGTCATCCATTCATAAAAAAGTTTGAGGACAAGGACATTGATCTTGGGATACTTGTTGGCACTTTGGAACCACCTGTTAACTACCTTAGATAAGTAAGTCATCTTCTCTCCTTTTGCATTTTGGTATATGGCATGATCAGATTCATGATATGTAATGTGACTCTAAAGATTATTACTTGAGCATCAAAACTGAATGTGATTTTATTATTCAATTGTGTTTTGCCTTAATATGTAATATACAAGGTTTTGGTTTGAATATATGATTAAATAGACTCGGTCAATTCAAAAACTTATTTTTTTTTTCTTTCCAAAAACCAACATTATGACATTTGATAAGGCCAAATCAAAGGATAAGAATATACTATAGTCTTGACTTAAGAGATCCTATCTAAGGAGAATAACATGTGGTGGAGATGAGTCATGGACACTCATGGTTCCATACTCCAAAGACCCATTCATGTTCTTCTGAAACGAAAAGTCTGATAACTTCTTTTTTTTGTATTATGATTATTGATCAACAGTGACAAATTCTTACTTAATAGTCTTTTTTCATTTAGATTATTAGTCTGATTTTCTTTTTAAAATGCATGATAAAAATATTGAATCTTTCTTACAGATAGAGTAACTCAATAATGTAAACAAAACCGCTCTGTTTTCACAAATTAAGTAAGATCCGGATCTCAGAAAACAAAACCCATAAACACCGAAAATAAAATCAAGGAAAAAGGAGGACGAAAGCTACGAACCTCATGTCTCGTCTTTTACAATCAAGCTGACAATTCTCTGAAATTCTGTTAAGTTTCTTTAACTTCTTGACCATGCGATGATGTTTGTTTCTACATCTAGTTGAGAATGTCGCCTTCTTTAGACAAGTAGCATTCGCTAGTATGTACGCAGCCACATTCCTCTCTTGCTCTGTGCCTTCATATTGACTCCATTCCAAGATCTCGAAATGCTTCGATAAACATTCCGGAACAACTGTTGGTTCGTTCCACGGATTCATTGGATCATTGTAACGGCACTATGTTTCTGAGACGGATCAAAAGACATAAACATTGTGTGTTAGTGTTATATAGATCGTTAAACAAAAGGATGATTGACAAATATACTACTTTTGTTGAGTTATTCAGGATCCACAGCTTTAAT